TGAAAACCGAGTACTTGATAAGAGCGAATATACTAAAAAGAAAGACTTACGTTCTTAAGCGTTATAATAACTAAATACGAGAGAAAGAGAGAGAGAGAGAGAGAGAGAGAGAGAGAGAGTTCCAGATTTTAAATAAAAGTTATTTTTATTTGGGTGATTTATTTAGGTGATTTGTTTCTATTTTGGTAATCTTAAAAAAAAACGATCCTATAAGTAAACTACGTTGTTATGTTTTGTCAAAGTACCTCTTCGTGAAGATGCCGTCTTCGCCTTTTTGTGTGTTTTCATGCATAATAGTTTCTGCTTAACAAAAGAATCAACCCTTGACTTTGCCGTTTTTACAAAACTGATTGCTAGAAATAAGGGGCAAAGTTTTGATTCCAACCTAACAATAGGGCTCTATATACCTTTTTAATTAAAATTCGCCCGCAAATACAAACAGGACCCTTGAGTGGAGACGACGGTCTCCATCGAGGCAGAACCTTTTCTTAATAAGTTTTTAAAGTGCTTTCTTTACAAAAACTTCGATGAAATCCGTCGTTAATTATTTGCGAAATCAACAACTATTTCTAAATAATATTGACTTGAGATGGTTTGGAAATATGTACAAACGTAAATATCTCCAATCGACATTTATTACGGACCTGACTAATTCGAGTTTAATTTTGCTGACATTAGCTCAACATACAGCATACAGACATATTTTAACCACTAGACGCTTTTTACTGGAAAAGAGGCATCCATCTTAGTCCTCCTTAGTCCCAACGTGTTTTGATTCGTAAACGAGGATAGTTGTAGATGTTTTTGGGCCACAGCAACCACTTACCATCAGGTGAACTGTGTGGTCGCTTATCACCATTTCCTATTAAAAAAAAAATAGAATGCTTCACCAGGTACTTTGCCAATTACGCCTCATTAAAATTAAATTCAGTTGAGATCATAACACTTACAGCTCGTTAACAAGATATATCATATTCATTTTAGTCTTTATCAATATCTTTATAAATTTAAAAGAAGTTATAGTTGTACGTAGTAGAGCCACGCTGCGGCTATGTTATGGGATGGCTGTAGCAGGAATGGGTCGGTTCGACCACGCTCTCACAGACCACCAGCATAAAATAGCAGCGTGATTCCATTGTGTATGTTTGTTGTTCATATTTCATGAGGCATTTCATCTTAGCCCTCAGGAGTGACAACTTATCTGCGTTTTGATTCTAAATCGAGAATAAATGTAGAGATATATGGCCCACAGCTTCACTTACTATCAGGTGAATTGTGTGCTCATTTGTCACCCTTATTTAATAAAAAAATATCTCGGAACTCTTAAAATTTGACTTATCTAAAAACGGCGGGAGATATATGGGCCAGCGATCGCTATTCCGTACAAGCGTAGCGGTTACCGCTAGTTTTACTGATAGTACGAGAGAAGTGTGTCCAGACACAGACATCTTATAATAACAGTAATAAAATAAGAGTTTTATTTGAATCTATGAATATTAGCGTTTGACGATTTAATAAAATTATTGTTATCTTTAACGAACGCTATATAAAAACATTAAAACATAAAAAATAACAGGTGCTTTTTTATAAATATTGTACTAAAATATAATATACCACGTTTTTTCACGTATTCATCATTTATTAATATTCAGCATTCATCACCTTCAAGTCTCTAAGCTCATCGGGAAGTGCATGAAATTTGAGTTGCAAGATTCAACCCGGGACGACAGACACAGTCAGACTTAACATAAAGTAAACATAAAGTGACAAAACGTGGTAAAAACATAAAAACTTAATGTATATTGTTATTAAAGTTAGATTTTCAAGGAACGGAAGAACATGTTTATTAGTTACTACAAAAAAATAAAATAAAAGTAAAGTAGTATCTTAGCAATATTAGCAACCCCAAGTTTAAAAGGCTGTAAATGCGTTCAACGTAATAAGCTAATAAAACACCATACAGCGTAAGGTATAAATAACATTTAATTATCACGACATTTTATGAAACGTAATCTACATCTACATCTACACCATCTACACTATAATATTATAAAGAGGAAAAATTTGTTTGTTTGAATTGAATAGGCTCCAAAACTACTGGACCGATTTGAAAATTTCTTATTTCTTATTCCTGATGAATATAGGCTATAGCATATTTTCAAAAAGTTAGGGATCCGTATAAAAACTTCGTTAATGTAACCCACGTTGTGAAAAAAATACCAAAAGAATCATTATATCGCGTACGCTGCGGAAACTATTGACAATAAAGTAAAGTATTGTACTACGGTTTTATAGAGGACGTCAATATCTACAAAAAATGCGATATTTTTAAAACAAAAAACAATTTTTAAATTTTTTGTCTGTATTTCTGTTTGTTCCCGCTAATCTCCGAAATGGCTGAACCAATTTTGTCAGGACTTTCACTGGCAGATAGCTGATGTTATAAGGAGTAACTTAGTCCTATTTTAATTTTAGAAAAAGAATTGGGGTCTTTCGCAAAAAATTCAAATCCATGAAATTTAATCGTAATAAATTTCACGCGAACGAAGTCGCGGGGAACAGCTAGTGTTCTATAAATAACTAGCTATTCCCCGCGGTTTCATCCGCGTGGAATTTGTTACGATTGGATTTCGTGGGTTTTTGATTTTTTTGTGTATAACCGTGATTATTTTCTAAAATAAAAGTAGACTATGTTGCTCTTTACAACATCAGATATCTGCCAGTGAAAATCCCGTCAAAATCGTTCCAACCATTACGGAGGTTAATCGGAACAAACAGACGAACATACAGACAGGTAAAACAATTAAAAATAGTTTATTTGTATACGCGGTAGAGCCATGCTGCAGCTATATTATGGTTGTAGCAGAAGTGGATCGGCTTGACCGGGGAAGGACCACGTGCTCACAGAATACCAGCATAAAATAGCCGCTCTATGCCGCTGTGTTTTGTATGGTAAGTGTGGAGAACCGGATACCGTTTATACACGAAACGAGGCATTCCATCTTAGTACTCAGGGGTGTCAACACATCTGCATTTTAATTCCTAATCGAGGATAAATGTAAATGTCTATGGTCCACAGCATCCACTTAACATCAGGTGGATTGTGTGCTCGTTTGTCACCATAATTGTATAAAAAAGTACCGTATATATTTTCATTTGTATTTAATAAAAAGCTGTTTTTGTGACTTTACGAAGAGACACTTTAATTTTATTATTTGTATATGTATAGGTTAACAAAACGTTTGTATAACAAAATATATGAGCGTAAGATCGTGCTTTCGTATGTGAGAGAAATCATCGCCCTTTTCCATATCGTGGGTGTCGTAAGAGGTGACTATGTATAACTATGTATAATAACTATGTTTAATAATATACTATTTTGTCTCATTCAGCCATAAAACTACCCAGACCCTCAACAGGAAGCCATGTTAAAATTGAGAGCTGGTGCTGTGATCGATGCTAAATACTCTTTATAACTGGAGAGGCCCAAATCCGAATTTAGACTTTTATGGGCTTATGGTGATGTAGAATTCTTAAGTAATTAACCTTATAGATTAATTAACTGCTTCAACCGGCTTCGCTTGGATAGGATAATGTGGTGTTATTTATATTTAAGATATTAAAAGAGCATTTATTTTATGAATTTTTCATTTATCAATTTGAAGAAAAAGAAAAAATAAATCAAGTTTTTGGATAAAATATAGCCTAGATCCTTTCTGGTATTGCTTTCTAACTGTTCGTATAGTTTCAACACAATTGGTTCAGCATTTCCTAAGTATCCCATACAACAAGAAAATAGGTTATCTTAATAATACAGCCAGACGCTTCAATTTTATTTATATGTGTAGATGAGGCTCTTAAAAAATAAATTTGATATTATAAAAAAAAGTTCATGTCTAAATTGAGCGATGCTCTATGTTCATGTCTAAATTGAGCGATGCTCTATGGACATATTTAGCATTGCCTTGACGTTGCAAGCGATATATCGAGAATGCATTGTATCGGTAACAAGGGTGACAGTACACTTTCCATCTGATGGCAAGTGGATGCTGTGGCCCATGGACATCTACATTTAATCTCCATTAAGAATCAAAATGCAGATGCGTTGTCACCCCTGAGTACTAAGATGGAATGCCTCGATTCTATCCATTTTCTACACTCACCATGCGAAACACAGCAGCATTGCGCTGTTATTTTACGCTGATCTGTGAGAGCGTGGTCCTACCTCGGTCAAACCGGCCCATTCGAGCTACAACCATAATATAGCTGCAGGGCGGCTATACCACGTATCTCGTCGAATAATCAGTCTCTATTGTTTAATACGCGCACAATTTCGTTTTGGTATCTCAAGCATAATAATATAATAATGTCCTCCAGTCCGAATTTCGACCACGGCGGCCTGCCTCATCGGAGACTAGCCATCGGCGCAGGACAGGATTAAAGTACCCAAGTATATGCGCAAGCACAGGTGCACTCTTTGTTCCCTCACTCTCATAATCCGATGGGACGGGCTTTACGTGCTTTCCGAGGTACGGGGTTGAGACACTGCCAACTTCCTGACTCCAGGCAACTACTGAGAATTTCTTGACGGAAAAACTCAATAATTAATTTTTTTTGCCCCGACCCGGGACCCGAAACCAGGACCTCATGATCAGCAGTCGCACTACTACAATCACTAGACCAACGAGGCAGTCTTTTATATATGCCAGTTGAATTAACCTTGTAATGTGGTGTAAGAATATTGACGAGTACTTCCCCATATAGTGGGAATGGTAAGAGGCGATAGATGGATATGGAATAAGAGATTGGCAGTTGCATCTTTCAACAACTTCAAAATATTAAGTAAATCTATTGTTGAATATTTCTTGTATATGATATTATATTAGGGTTTATGTTCGTATAAGCCAATTTCATTCATCTATTAATTGGTAAGAATATGTTAAGCGAATAGTAATGTTGCTATCATTAGGATAGTGAAAATTATAATATTAATAACTTACCAAGTTCAGATCCACAGACGCGCGGTATGATTTCAAGTATAGCGGAGCAGGAAGCGTCCTCGAAGCACAACTGGCGAGCCAGCAGGCAGTTCAGGATCGCCATGGTGCCTTTTATACCCGGCCCTAAAAAATAAAATGGTTATTAATTTTACAAAAATTTTGTTACATGATCTTAATAGAATAGTTTTAATGTCTGAGAAACGTTTGTCGCACCCCACACCTGTCCCGTAGTTGACATACAGGTTGCTGGCTCCTCGAGCTAGCATACTGATCTCTTAAGGGTCAGTATTCTACTACAACCATTTTTAACTTATTTTAAGTACATACATAACATACATAAACACTCACGTCTGTCACCCAGAGGGGTAGGCAGAGACTACGGACTTCCATTTGGCACGATCCTGACATACCTCTTTCGCCTCCTTTACATCTATATATCTACACATACATGCTCGTCGGTTAAGGGTATTTCTGACGTGGCCCATTATCAAAATATCGCCAATTTGGTCGATAAACTTTTTTCTAGGGCGTCCCTTCCCGACTCTGCCGTTCACATCTGCCATATAAATTTGCTTTGTCACTCTTTCCTCATTCATTCTTTCTACATGACCAAACCACCGAAGCATTCCTTTCTTAATCCTGGTCACAACATCATCTTGCACACCACATTTATCTCTTATCACGCAATTTCTCACCCTGTCATTCAGATTCAACCCTAGCATACTCCTTAAAGACCGCATTTCTACAGCATTTATTCTACTTTCATGCTTCTTCTGCCACACCCAGCTTTCACTACCATACATTAAAGTAGGCACCAACACAGCATTATGAATTACCACACGTGCCTTTTTTGACACATTCTGGTTCTTCATAATAGAGTGTAGTGCCCCATTCACTCTATTCCATGCATTTACTCGTCGTTCTATATCCTTATCATATCTACCATCCCTACTAAATACACATTCCAAATACACAAACTCATCCACTTGCTCAATTAACTCTCCTTCTATACTTATTTCACATACCGTTTTGCTTTCTTCTCTTTCAAAAACCATCACTTTCGTCTTACTTGCGTTCTTTCATTCCCCTTTCTTTTAATTCCCAGTTCATTAATGTGACCATCATTTGCAACTCAGCCGCCGATGACGCAAATATGACTTGAGCATCGGCATGCAAAAGTCATTTGACGGTTAACTCGCCCATTCTTAACCCACATTCTTCATCTTTCAAAGTTTGCAAACACCTGTCCATAAATAGGTTGAACAGCCAAGGGGAAGCTACACAGCCCTGTCTGATACCTTTTTGGATGCCAAACCAGTCCGAGTAGACCCTATTGATCCTGACACAAGCACTAGAGTCCCTATAAAGAGACCTTAATGCCTGTATCAAACCAGCGCTCAACCCATATGAGTTCAGTGTTTGCCATAACACATTCCTGTCCACTCTGTCATAAGCCTTTTCCAAGTCCATGAACGCACAAAAACTTTCTGGTTTTTGGCCAGAAACTTCTCCGCAGTCATGCGCATGGAAAAGTCTTGATCTGTACACCCCATTCCCCAAATTTTTCCATCAGTTTCTTTCATAACTCTTTCAATTAACATCTTAGCATACAGTTTACCCACAATACTAAGCAAGCTGATACCACGGTAGTTTTTGCAGTCCTGCTGTGACCCTTTTTCTTTATATATTGGTACTATAACTGCTTTACACCAGTCTTCCGGTACCCGTTTTATTTTCCAATACAAATTAAACAAGGTGTACAGCAGGCCTGCCACCACTCCCTCTCCAGCCCTTAGCATCTCGAGTGATACTCTATCATATCCAGTTGCCTTACCTGCCTTCATGCTTTTCATTGCTTTCATTATTACATCTACACTTATCTCCAAACCCCTTTCCACTTCTTTCGGAATTTCTAGTTCATTTAATTCAGACGACTCTTCACTCATAAACACGCTTTCAAAGTATTCCTTCCATCTATTTAAATTCGAAACTTCATCATTCAGAATACATCCATTCTCGTCTCTTATATCATTAATTATAGGCTGTTTTGTATTTCCCCTGGCAGTTCTTACGAGTTTCCAGAACATTTTTATATTAGCCTGGAAATTATCAGATATCCTTCTATCATTCTTATCCGTTCTTTCTTTCTTTTTCCTTTCAACTACTTCTTTTACTCTCTTATTTAGACGTCTAAATTCTGCCTTTTTTCTTTCAATCTCATCATTCATACCACCAGAATTACCAGATTTGGTTGCTAGTAAATCTAATCATGCCTTCTTCTTTGATTCAACTTCCACCCGTATCTCATCTTCCCACCACAATGTATTACTTTTCCTTTCATTAGTCCTCTTACTTACACCACATACTTCGGTGGCTGCATCCACCAAACCTTTCTTAATATTATTTTAAGTATTCAATAGAATCTTGTTCATTCATTAATTTTAACCCATCCATATATGTCTATGGCATATATCACTACACGGCACGATTTCTATAAATACGCTGATATATACATATGTATAATGGCTAACATAGGGGAAGACTTCTATATTTTATGTAGTATTTTTATTTCAACTATTTCTAATTATATAACCCTATGTGTAGACACAAACACACACACACACACACACACACACACACAAACACAAACACACACACACATGCACACACACAAACACACACACACACACACACACACACACACACACACACCACGCACGCACGCACACGACTACTATCCACGCAACACTTTTTTCTCATTCCTTGATTTTCGTTTACTGCATGTTAGTTAATTGTTAACTGAATCCTAATTATTCTTAAGTCGCCAGAATCTATTGTAATTGTACCACTAATAGGGGAAGACACTGGTTTCTAAGATACCATTTAAATTGTTAAAAGAGTTGTGGTAAATAAATAATTTATTATTTATTATTTTTAATAGTAAGAATTTTATCGCATATTGTCCTTTATTTATTTATCTATTACTAAGTGGTAATCGATAAATAAACAAAGGATCTTTTCTACCTAAGAGTCCGTCTACATAGGAAACACCCTCTTAACCTATTCTGCCACTAATAAGCAGTGCTCACACTGCTGTTCCTATGTGAAAGTCATAGAGAGCCAGCATAAGTGAGCATAGGCTGTGACGCATCTATCTTAGTTAGACAATGCATCTCAGCCTTCTTTGTTTGAATTTGACTGCAGATATCCATAGCCTGCAGTTGCCATTTAGCATCAGTGGGACTGTAAGTTCATTTGTCACTTAAATTTTATATAAAATCCTAAGTTTAATATCTCGAATACTATTTCAACTGCACTGAAATGAACCTTCAACGATTAACACAAAATTTATTTATTTATATACACTTTCATGCATAAAATAGTAAACTACCCGTGGGGTTAAAGAATGGAATTCAAAACGGCGTCGCCTCTATTCACCTGTCGCTCGCACGCACACTATCGCTATCTATACTCACACAGCGGCGGTAAAGACAAAAAATACGTTCTATACCTTCAGTCAAACTTGTCACTGGAATCAATGATAAAAAATTAAGTAAAGTAATACCAGTGATCTAGATTAAAATTTTATCCAAAAATTTAGAGACTTTATTAAAATAGAAATATTCATAAGATAAATGGTTTTCAAAAATTATGTTTAATTTTAAATAACGCCACATTAATAGATCCCACCCAGGTGCAGCCAGAGCGGGGCGCTAGTTATCAATGTTATTTTATAATTAATGTACCTACTTGTGTATACAATCCTTTTCAAATATTTTACTATTAATAAAAAAATCCAATTAACCTAATATTATTACGCTATAATGATATACCGTTATTAGTGGATTATCGACATTGGTATTGTGCATGTTGACGGTTCGGGCTCGATGCTCCGCCATTTATAACCCCATTCTTTGTCCGTACGGACTATAAATAATATGGCAAAATTAATGACAAAGGAAAAGGAAACATTCTCACGGTCAAGCATAAGCCAAGCAAAGATAATAAACAAATAAATTGCAAGATTTTTTTAGCATGTTGATGACTTTATTAAAAACAAACTTGTTGAGTTTTTTTTTAATGTCAATTTTCATGAAAATTTGCGTAATGTTATGTCTTTTCGAATATTAGAGATTTATTGGACAAGATTCCATTATGGTAAAAAATGTATATGGAAGATAAGAAGGTTTTTAAATGGTATATGTCATAATATAATACTTATTCTTCCTTTATCTGCGCCTTGTTATTGATTCTCACGTCTACATTTCTGTAATTAATAAGTGTTCGCTCTTGATAGCGCTTAAGTTGCGATCAAATTATTCGAATACTCGAACGCACGATTATTATTCTGATTCGCTTTCCTTTGACTCGATGGCCTATTTCAGACCCAGAGAGTTACGTGATTACGTTAGGTTTCCTTTGAAACGTGATTGTAATCAGCAATGTCCACTGAATAGTTTTCGACTAAATTATGTAATCTATTTACGTAAATCGCCAAATATTGAGAAAGCAATTTACTTCAATAGTTTTTAATAACTATAATCTATCTTACTTTAAATTAATTATCATGTACGCTATATCGTTAATAAAAAGCATGTTATGTAATATTTAGTCCAATATTTCCTTGAAAATATTAGGTAAAAATATGAAAGTTGTCCCCAAAATCATAAAAACTACATAAGTGCAGGTGGGATTTTTTTAAAGATAAAGAGGGCATAGAACATGTTAAATTAAGTACAAGATGTTAGCAATTTGTCCGAACTTTAGATCATTTTATACCTGCGCTGTTAGTGAATTAGTAAAGATTGTTAAAGGAACAGATAGATGAATGACCGTAAATATATCAATGTATTTGATATTGGTGAGTGATAGTCAAGTGTCGGTAAGGGACGCACTACGCGGAAGTTTATACACCAAATTGGCGGTTTATTAAAGATTTGCCAAATTAAATGCTCTTAACCTTCGAAAAAGTTTGTGTAAGTATATGGATGGGGAAGTATGATAGGATAGTGCCAAACATAAGTCCGTAGTCTCTGACTACCACTCTGAGTGAAGGGCTTGAAAGTTTATGTATGTATGTATGTTATAATTATATATTTGAATAAGCCAAATCCTTATATTATAGATTGTAATTATGGATAGTAGTAGTGAATGTAGTACTAGAAAGTAGAATTTCATTATATTTATTTCTAGTGATCCACCCCGGCTTTGCAAAGGTGATATCTGGATCTCGACAATAGCACCACGTTTTTAAACAATCCAGGAG